TGCTTAATATATATAATGATGAATATGTCATATATCAATGACCTGTAGACTTCGCAATTGTGAGCAAGGAGCGGTAATAGAGGCTGTTAAATCTAGCCATGAAAAGGTTATCCGCTGTTTAACGTGCTGTGGCTTACAAACCTACCCTGATGTTTATGCGGTAGCATATATGGAGTACCAGCTGCTGAAGCATCGCTTGTAAGGAACGTGATATGGCCCTAACGGACAAAGTGGGCGAGTTGCATATGGCACTGCAAGTGTTCAAATCCAACGGGCTGGTGACCTGCTTAAATGCCCCCTCGGCAACTAGGAGCAAAGGGGCGGTGCAAAGGCCGTGAAATCTTGTCTTCGACCAGTTCTGAGCCAGGTAGTGCGTGAAGTTAATTTTTCAGCCTTAAGATGCGTTATATGCGCGAGCAAGCATGTTGTTAACGTTTTATTGTTCACCAAAGCTTATGCTTGTATTCCTGGATGCCAACGGAGGTGAAACACCAGTCGATGCGGTCCCCTGCCTGTCACTGACTCCGTAATCCATGCTGGAACACAATTAAATCCTGGGATAATTGGACGCTAAACGCGAAAGGAATTAGTGGGCCAGCCGAGCGCCTTCAGACCGAATTCGTATAGACGTCGCCCTCAGGCTGCGTGAGTGATGGCAGAGTGAATGAGTGTGAATGGTTAATGTGATAAATGATGAGGTTTTTTCTTGGCCGTGGTCGTGAATTATGGACTCACCGACGAATAATTTGTCTTTTCAAACACAGTGTGCGTTTTCTCGTTTGCGTGCCTCTAACGACCGTTGCTCTTCAGCGTGCAAGCGCAAGGAACAGCAGCAGCAGCAGGGAGTACAGACGCCCGGGCCGAAGAAGCCGCGACTCGTCTTCACGGACATTCAACGCCGGACATTGCAGGTACGTCGTCTGATAATTGTTGTGGGCGTTGATAATCGTCGTCTTTCGTTCATCGGATATTTGGCTCGTATGTTGCCCCCCCCTTAAACGATAGCATGCCAAGCTGACCATTGTACGCAACGGCCGGTGCTGTAGCGAACCTCCGAAATTTGTCCATAGCCGTTAGACTTCCGCCATAATGAGAGATTGGGTGTTTTGTTTTGCGGGATTTGCTTTAGTGGAAATAAGCGGCCAGGCCATTCGGCAGGTTTCGGATGGTCTTGCCTGATTGGTTGTGACGAAATATCTAATCACCACTCACCCCTTTGTGTGTATGTCATGACTGTGCTTCTGTCCGAGTGCGTTTCCTTCTGTAGCTGATTCGAAAGTACTAATGAACGCCTTTGGATTCCGAACAGCCAGCCAGCAGCGTTTCGTGGCTAGTCGTGTCAGCCTCGCGCAAATCTGTGCGATTCACCACATAATCAAGCGATATTAGGCCAGCCAATCGTTTCGCTGTCATTTCCGTCGGTTCGTTCTTTGCGTTACCGCTTAGCGCCTAGATTTTATTGGCCGGTGACAGTGGCTAAAGATTCCATCGCTATGACGGTTGACATTATGGGGCGATTTTACACTTCGGTCGTTTCTTTCTATTCACCGTGTAAATTCGAGGATTATGGACAGTTGTGCAATCATGGCTTTTCCTAACCTCTGTATGTATGCTTTGACAGGCTAGAGACAGAATCTGCAATTGAACTGATTGCGCAGAGTCACCGACAAATTGCAGACTTCATCCGCCTGCAGCCAGCTATCCGTTTTGTAGATGGATCAATAATTATCCTGCCCATGTCCATGCATTTCTGTAGACCATTCGGTTTCGTGATACCCTTGCTTGTCACGAAGATCAAAGTCTTCGCTGGATTATCCATCAGGGCTCGTTGTATTCTTTCGATCCCTGGCATTATCCGCTGATACCTTCGGTAAGCTCATTATTGACTATGTTATATGAAATATTGCAATGCCATCGCAATTCCTCTGCACTTTATTGGATCGACTCCGATAAGCGACTTCTATGACGTACTAAAAACCTTAGAACTTAATGCGTCATATCTCGCTGGATCGAAACGAAAGACTTCATTACCCTAACATTTGCTAATAAGTGTCATAAGCTGTTGTTCGTACGCCCGAGCATGTCAGATACTACATGACTCCTCCTAGACTAGATTTCACGTCATATTGTACTATCCCCTTTCTTCTACTTGTCTGGGAAGGGGGACTTTTAAGCTGGCCACGGCTAAATGGCATTTGAACATCTGCAGTGCTATATGCATCTCGCAGCACCTTGTTGGAAGGGCGGTGCAATGTGCCCTGAAGTCTTGTTTTGGAAAGTTCATTCGTTATTCGTGCTTCGACCAGCCTGTCATGCTTCCGCGGTAGTGTGTAAAAGAGTACTAAGTCCAGAAACATCTGTCGTATATAATTGAATTAATTTAAAGACGAAATAAGTGAAGATAACCGATATCTAGCTGA